AGGGGACGGCGCCGCCGCCGCCTTCAGCCCCGGCCTCGGCAGCTCGGCACAAGCTGAAAGACAGGCAAATATTTGTCCGTATGAATATAAAACACTTTCATCTCTTCCCGGGAAAAGGATAGACAGGGTGCAGTGCCACCACGCTTTCCTGGGCAGGAGAGCGTGAAGCAATCAGCCTCATGTTTAACAGCCTGGGGCTCAAACTCGCATTCAATTTTCAGACTGTTTAATTGCATTTTTGAGCTCAACACATTTGCTATAATCTCTGTTTCACATACCCCAAAGACAGCGGCCGAAACGCCTTTGTCCACAGCCCCAGCGGCGCATTTTTGACCAAAGTCCCTCACATTTACTAAATAATGATTTTTGAGCTATTCGATTGAACATTAAGGTTCCGGTTCTTCTGAAAACACTACTTTACGAGGAGACAGCCAGGATGACAGCCTTGATTCTATTTCTATTAAAAAAAATGTGCAAGAGTTTATCACATATCAGTTGTCTCTGTAAATACCGAAACCACAAAATAAAGTTCTTCAGATGTCTTTCTTAAAACCACATTTTTAGCATTTTTTTTCCCAGAGGAAGTGAGAAAAGAGTAAAAGAAAGATCACCCCAGCCCAGCACGGGTGAATAGGCGCCGAGCAACTTCGGCCTCCGATTCCGAGGTTTCCCAGTGGGTCTCAGGCCCTGGCTCTGCTCTCCCTTTGCTTTCCCAACCCGGGCACCCTGACTCCATTTTGGCTGGCAGCAAAACGGGGCTGGACAAGCAGCGAGACTAACCTGGCCGCAGCAGACGCGGGCGCCAGAAGCCGCCTGGCTCTGATCTGCGCCAATCCCCGAACAACAACTACACCTTTAATTCCCCAACATTAAAAATAGAGCGCGTATCAAACTTTGCCTCCCAAACCGGACTCGCTGACAAGAGCCTTTCTCAGCTTCTTGTTCTTAACCTGAGAAGGGGCTTAAACAGATCTCGCTGGCTGCCCCCGAGGGTCATTGATACCAAAATACGGCCAGTTTGGACAAACAAAGGAGAGGGAAACTGCAAACAAGGCGAAGAGGCTCCCTGGCCACCTCCCACCGCAGTGTTTACAGCCCGCGCTGCTATTCAAGGCAGCCCAATCCAAGCACTTGAACAAGCCTGTTTTGCAGCGCAGGCGTTCGGAAAGGACACAGAGCTGCTCTAAAACGCCAAATGCCCTAAGAAATCCCAGCTTCAAGAGCAACAAACACATTCTGGTACCCGCAAAGCAACTCAGGGCTGTCTCAGTCTTTTCGACAAAGCACTTGCAAACTGCAGCGCCAAACTTGTTTCTCCTACCCCAAAGTGTTTCCCCGTGCTGCCTGGGCATGGAAAATGAAAAGCCTTGCGGATGCACTAGCATTAGCGTCTATCGGACAGAGCTAGAGCTTTAGCTGGCAAATGGAACGATGCTGAGTGGATTAGCAGTTTGGACGTCGGGGGCAATAACGTGTTCCCTGGAGGCTGCCAAGGCTCTTCCACAGGTTTCTAAGGCACAACAAACCACCCGGTCCAGCCCCGCAGGCACGTTCCCAGGACAGGGTGCTGGGAATTGGAAGCCGGGCCTCTCACGCCTGGAGATGACAAACAGGCAGCGAGGCGGGTGCCACGCGGGGCCACGCGCCCTGGCAGCGTGAGCCGGCCACGCGGCAATTTGTGAAAAAAAACCTGCCGAGCCCGCGGGGAGGCCGCCCGAGGCAGGGCACGCGCGACGCCGCTCCCAAACGGCCGCTTCCCGCAGAGCTGCGCTGCTCGCACGGGAATAAGTATTTCCAAGTGAGCAAAGCTATGAGGTGTTACACGTCGAGGAAACACCCGCGGCTGCTCCCGCAGGGCCAAGCCCGGCCTGCATCTCCAGCGCGGAAAACCAGCCGACGGTTGCGTTCCGACCGGGCGGGAAAGGAGCCCCTTCGGCTCCGCGC